TGTTATTTCCTAGCACTGAACTAAGCAAATGCTGTGGGAAACCTAGCCGTTAAGACACTGGGACCTGCTTCCATTGCCTATAGCCCTGGCAAACATTTGAGAATCCCAGTTCTGTTTCTGTCAGCTGCAATTTTCCAAACTAGTGGATGGCACATTTCGTCTTCCCCAGGGGCAGTCTGGAATGAATGAAGAGACAGCCTTCAGGGACGTCTTTATTCCTGAGAATTCTTGTTGCCCCTGAGCATTTCTGCTCCTAGAGTCTGACCCAGGTGTCAGTAGCATCTCTTGGGTCACCTCAGCAACAATAACTGCAATATGCCTGATTGAGGATAGGAAAGCTGAGGCTGGACTAATTTGGGGAACCAGGTGGGCTCATAAACAGTCATTATTGATGAAGAGTGACTTACTGGCTATTTAAAGACAGCTGGTTTCTGTACTGTTCAGTTTTTTTCGCGAATGCACTTGAGGATTCTTTGGTAATGTCTTCTGATTTACCACTTGTCTTTGTTTTTAATATCAAGGAAGAATATAGATTGAAGCGATTGTCTTGGTAGCAACTTTAGTGGTGATGGCTGTGGAGTTATTAAAATTTATAGCCATGCTGTTTTTGCAGCTATACTTTGCTTTTCTTAGAGAGGCTTATAAAAGGCACCAAAGAATGTGGAGAGAAAACAACTCCCAAACTGTGATAGGAAATCAACCCTGCATAAATTTTTTAAATCTATATTCTGTTGGCTAAAATTTACATTTATTTTCACAATATGTCTTGATGACAGTGCCCACCAAACCAACTGGGCCTTAGCTCATAACACTACTTTCAATAACACTAATGAGGAGAAAGAAGACTGACCTCTTTTGAGGTCCAGAATTACGCATGGCAACATGCCAGGTGCTTACATGCCTGTGCTCTCCTATGACCCGCACAGTAAGCTTCAGAGGTAACAATTGGCCTCTCTTTCCCTCCACGACTCACTTTATGAAAGAGAAATCAGAAGTCAAATAACCAGACCAAGGCCATACAGCTTTAAGGGCCGTAGCTGTGATTTGAACCATGTTAGGCTAAAATCCACATTTATCCTATTAAACCCATTAATTTGTCTAAAAATCAGAGTGTTGTATGTGATCAAATGATTCGGTGAGTCCTTCTCCTGATCTCATATATTTATGTAATGTTTTATTACTTATAAAGTACTGTCATCTTCTTCATATTATTTTAAGCCTTACAACATCCCTGTGAAGTATGTGATGCTGGTATCCTTTCCCCATAGTGTCTTATCAAGACATGGCTTCGGAAAAATCAAGTAATTTGCCCAAGGTCGGTCAGGCCTGACACCGAAGCCAATGTTTTTGTTCCCTCACATTGTCTCTTTTCTAGATACAGAAGCCAACAGAGTCGATTTGCATGGCAGCTGAGCATGATTGATTCAAGCCTGGGCAACTCTATGGGGATTTGCCACAAGGCTTCCGTGACTTCTAATGAACCGAAACAAAGCAGTTAGCCACAGATTATAATGCCACTGTGGTCCCATGACAAATGACAAGGAGGTTGTAGTAATGAAATCTTATTACTGCAAACAGAGACCACATCTGAGGTCTTGCACAGCCACATTTACCACTGTGGGGAAAAGAAATGAAACACCTGGGTAAGGGTCCCCACTGACTTTGGCAGTGAGCTAACAGGATTAAGAAGATCTCCCAGAAACAGTGATTACACTGGCAAATGTGTGGCACCTAAGATAAGGACCAAATATTTATTCTGGCAGAGATTAAATCTTTTCTTTTCTTGAATCTAATATGGATCTTGCAGAAAATCTACCCAAGAATATATCTTGCTGATCAGCCAACTCACTGAGCCAGAACCGTACTTTGCCACTGCTGTCGCTGAAAAGCTACAGAATGCTGGTTTAAAGGTCTCCTTGCTTCCCCTAAAACTGTTCTCCACCCATGATTAATTAGTGACTCATGGGTGAATTGAATGACCAGCAGTCCTTTCCATGACTCCAGGATTTATGTACTGGTTTCTCATTGAAGAACAGTTGTGCAATAAATAGTCCACATCGGTGGGATGGGCAGAGGAGTAATGGTGTCTGCAGTCATGGTTTCCTAACTCTTCTAGTACTTCTATTCTGCTAAGCAGGTTATGGCTCATATTCTTACAGCCTTGCTTATTTCAGCATGAGGGTACGGGGTAGTGACACATACATACAGCCTTAGAAATGAATACCACTTGTCCAAGAGAATGCAGAAAAGTCATATTGCCATTCTGAATTCCTTGTGAAACAAGGAGAAAGAATGAAATGGATAATAGAATTATAGGCATGAGAAGTACAAAAAGAACCCATAATCAGGTTCATTTATCCATGCATCATATTTTAAAGTAGGTGCTTTTCCTTGTGTAGAGATGTAGATAGTGGTTTCAATAAATAGATTTAAGAAATCATGAGTATGTTTAGTCACAATTTTGGGAGGTACCTGGAGCTCTTTTCCCAGAGAACGGAACATGGGAATTACAGACATCATTTTATATTGCATACTATGTAATCAGGGCACAAAGGAAATACTGAGGCCCACCCCTGTATCTCCAGGTCCTTGAATGCTCACAGCCTCCTTTGGTCAATCAGTCTATATTAATTGCTTCTAAAATCAAGATTCCCTGGTTACTTGTCCATTCTTTTATTGGATGCAAGATGAACTGACATACTAAATGATAAATGGAAAGTTGAAGAAAGCCTGCATTTTGGAAAAATAAGTAAAGTGTGCCAAACTGTATATAGAAACCAGTGCCCATCCCCAGAAGTCTTAATTTATTTTAAGCATAGTAGGTGCTTAATAAATATTGTATTTATGTATTTAATGAATACGTGAATGAATGAGTAAAATAAATGACTAAATCTGAGATTTAGTATAAATCTTTCCTATATGTTGATGTATACATATTCTGGTCTTTTCTCCCATTCTTCTTTTTCTTTTCCTCCTCTTCCTGGTTTTTCTCCTTCTCTTCCTTCTACTTCTTCTTGAATAAAAAAGTAGAAGATAACAAAGAATCCTGAACTAATATTGTGACTCAGTCTTGTAGAATGTCTGAATTACTACTGATACAGTTTGGCTGTGTCTCCACCCAAATCTCATCTTGAATTGTAGATTCCACAATCTCCATGTGTTGTGGGAGGGACCCGGTGGGAGGTAATTGACTCATGGGAGCAGTTACCATCATGCTGTTCTCATGATAGTGAGTGAGTTCTCATGAGATCTGATGGTTTTGTGAGGGGCTTTTCCTCTTTTGCTCAGCACTTCTCCTTCCTGCTGCCATGTGAAGAAGGATGTGTTTGCTTGCCAGGCTTCCACAGCCATGCTGAACTGTGAGCCAAGTAAACCTCTTTTGTTCACAAATTACCCAGTCTTGGGTATGTCTTTATTCACAGCATGAGAAGGACTGATACAGCTACTCAATTGTATTATCCTTGAATACTCAACATATTACCAATAATATGGAAAATTAGAGAAATTGAGCAAGATGTCTCCCTTGTGTCCTTACACATGCCTCCAACAGCCTGCAATGCTATGATGCCTTTCCAAATGCTTAAGAGAGGCAGATTATATTTGAACAGTAAGGTTACATTTATTTTATGTCTCATTGTGAATACTAGTTCCAACTCTTAGTCATAATCAATTATTAGAGGGGAAGATCAGAGTTTTTATAGCATTATTATGTATGCTTTGTGTTTTAGTACACTTCCCAGAAGGTGGATGATATCACAACCACCGCCATCACCATTTGTATCTTTACTGTTTGTGTTAGTCCATTCTCACATTGCTATAAATAAATACCTGAGACTAAGTTTTAAAGAAAAGAGTTTTAATTGGCTCACAGTTCTGCAGGATGTACAGGAAGCATAGCAGCATCTGCTTCTGGGGAGGCCTCAGGAAGCTCCCAATAATAGAAAATGGAGGAGGAGGAGTCTCACATGACAGGAGCAGGAGCAAGAGAGACACGGGGAAGATGCCACACACTTTAAACAACCAGACCTCATATGAATGCATTCACTATCACAAGGACAGGCCAAGCGGATGGTACTAAACTGTTTATGAGAAATTGTCCCCATGATCCAGTCACCTCCCACCAGGCCCCGTCTCCAGCATTGGGGTTTACAACTGAACATGAGATTTGGGTGGGGACATATTGAAACCATATCACCATCTCCATTGCCATAGTTACTTTTGTCAAATTCATTGCAATTTCCCTTCTGACGAGTCTTTGGTGGCCACAGAGGTTCTCTTCTGCTGTGTTGCATAAGCTATGGTCTTGAATACATTTCTCTTTGGATTACTCTGAGAAGTAGGGCTACAAGTAATGGGAAGCGTGGCAGCCATCCAATTCTGACAATTCTAGGTCAATTTCCCTGGCCTCTACTGCGGGTTCCTTTTCTATGTAGTTTGGAACTGCAGAATCCTTGTGTGTGTGTGTGTGTGTGTGTGTGTGTGTGTGTGTGTGTGTGTGTGTGTGTATACTGTATATCTAGTTCCCCTGACATTGGCTCCTAACCATTCTGTACCCCTCCACTTTGCCTTGATTGTATGAAAATATGCAGACAAGCTCATACATATGTCCTCCTTAACTGTAAATCTGGATTGAGAAATGATTTAAGGTCCAGTGTCTTAGTGTCCTCTCTTAGTAAATAGGCCTAATCCATCTTACAGAAATAAACTTTGCATTGTCATTGCATAGCTGCCAGGTAGTTCCAGACCTGATATCCATTGAGGGGAGGTGAATGATGTAACCTGTGCTGCACAGCTTGTGAGAGCAATTTGGGTGGTTTATGCAGTTGGCTTTTTATGTTCAGGATGAAAGCTCATGCAGAAATACAGAATACTATTATTATCTCCATGCTGACAGCTCCCTCTGGGCACCTGCAGGTTTACTGCTAGTTGGAGGATCAACTTTAAAGGGAGATAACTTGGTGGTTGGTGATAACTATGCCTTTTGTGTTTCTTTGTTACAGGAACAAGGGAAAATTGGAGTTGTCTTCAATATTGGCACAGTTGACATCTCCATCAAAGAGGAGAGAACCCCTGTAAATGACGGCAAATACCATGTGGTACGCTTCACCAGGAATGGCGGCAACGCTACCCTGCAGGTGGACAACTGGCCAGTGAATGAACATTATCCCACAGGTACGTGTTGTGCGTGCAACGGTCCTACTCTTTTTGACTCTCTTCTTCCCACTTTTCAATGGTGATTTTTCTCAAGACTATCACCAAATTCTAAAACACTGAGTGAAGCACACATTCATGATTTTTGGTATGAGAAGATAAGTTATCTCTTTAGAACATGATCCAGTATAGGGAGCTTCTGGAGACTTTAGCAACTATGCACTGAACACTTTGTCAACCTTTGACTGATACAGCCTGACTGGCTCATAGCAAAGACAGTTACTACAGATTTTACAGGGCCTGCAGACAATGAGGGGTGAAGGGAAAGAACGTCATTATCATGAGTGAGTGTCGCTAATCCTAAGATGCTCAATTTGAGACCCAGACTTTGTGGTGCCATTGAGTCAGGTGTGGTTGAAGGGGCAGATGCCAGAGAGAGACTCTAAAAGGACATTTACTGAACTTGAATCGACACAGATCAGGTCATGGTAACAATGAGAGAAAAACGACTCTACTAAAGGTAGAATTTTATTCATTTGGTGGACTTTGCTATTTTTTTTTTTTTCTCTCTCACTTACCCTAAGCCTGTCTTGATATTCAAAGGTGGGTCCTAGTAGTCATTTTAATAGCAAGCATGCTGGTGTGGCAGGAAAAGGGGTTAATCATCTGTTTAAATTTTACAGTCAGGAAACATTCAGCAACAAATTCCCAGAGCCAGATGGCTGAATCAAGGGCGATGGGAGAAAAGGTTACCTTCCTTACAAGAGATCATTCACATAATCCCTTAGCTTTCCCTCTTGCCTCTCACCTCTCCCAGGAAGAATCCTGAGTGCCGATCATAAAAGTGGCAGGAATGGAAGGGACAACCCTTCAGCAAAGGGCCGTTGCTCCACAACTGTGCTGTCCCCTGATGGATGCAAGAGAATAGCCAGAACATTGCACTTCTCACTAATGTGGGCATGAAGTGAAGTGCAACTCTCTCTCCAATGCACCAAACTCCCCACAATTTTCTCACTTCCTGTACAGTGAGCTGGGCACAATAACAAAGAAGCTTGAAGCACATTTTCAGAGTCTAAGAGCCATTAGCGAATAATGGTTATGCTTGTGAGAAATATACAAAGTAAATGTGACCATTTGTAGGCCAAGGCTTTTGAATGGCTTGAAGGCTGTGATTGTATCTCCATACTTAACTCAGCATTAATTTTCTTTAAAAGCCTATCAGAAGTATCTCTGTTGTTGGGTTGTTCGCTAGTAGCTAGAGTTCCCCTATCTGTTTAAGAATTGTGAGATCATCCGCAAACAGCATGCAAGACCCCCAAGGAATTGAGGCCAAAAGCTCCACCCACTATTGATTTTCCATCTCAGTTTCCATAAAACAGCCAGCACAGCCATTGCTGGGGGTCTCAGAATTTCTTAGATTAAGGGCACAAAAATGCCCTCATGAGGTTATCTTTGAGCATTTGAAGAAAGTCAAAGTTATTAACAGCATATGTGAATTTTTATCATCATTCAAATTCACTACACACTAATAGACTTAATTTTTAAATGCTTCCTGCTTAATCCCTGATGGATGGAGGAGAGGGTGAAACAGCCCAATATATTAAAAGCTGTTCACAGGCTCATAGAAAAAATCAATCTCTCTCTCCGTATGTGTTATCATTGGCCTTGCTAGTGCTGCTGAAGGGTTTGTTGTGTTTCTGTTAGGAATTTCAAAGAGTTCTAAATTGATGTTAACCACTTGCCTTGAGCAATATAGAATCCCACATACAGAATCCACACGTTTGCTGCCAGCAATGAGAAGGCTCTTTAACAGTCATTTTAAAGCCACAGGTATGTAAGAAAATGGAGACTCTTGCTGTGCACCTATCTTTTTGTGTCTTTAGTTCCAAATTATGGGTTGCTTCCTGTATGTTTTCAAAAGAGGATAAACCTTTCTCTAATAGCATGGCTTCCTCCTGCAGACTATTATTATCATTGCAAACTGTTATTTAGTTATATATATATAATAATAATGTGTGTTATTATTACAGGACAGGGTACAATATAGCATTTATAAGTATGGACCTTGAGGTCAATTGGCTAGAGTTGGGATCTTGGTTTCATCATTTGTGAGTCTAAGGCAGTTGGATTAGGACCTTGAAATGCCCTCAGCATTGAAATGTTTGGTACCTCTTCCTACCTGTAATTCAAAATACAGTAACACTGAACCATAAAATAAGTACAAGAGTTTCTAAGAATTTTCTCCTCTGATGATTTCTCTAATGCTTTCAAAATATGTTAGATTCTTTCTTCCCAAATTCTCATTTTGTAAAAAGTTATTGGACTTCCCTAAGGCCGTTGACTAGTCTGGAAAACGAGGGTAATGAGAATACCTGGGTTAATGTGAAGATTGAGTTGGCTACATATACAATGTTCAACATAATGCTGGGACAATTAAGTCAATCCTCAATAAATGTTAGCTGTGAGGATTACCAACATTTGGCTAGCATTTTAAATTGGGACATATTTTTGAATACAGATTTCTTCATTTTGACAATGAAGTACCCTATAAATTGGATAGGTTAGATATTTGTCATTCTCCATTTCAAATAAAAACAGAGACCCAAGGAGGTGCTATGCCCTTCCTAAGGTCACATAGCAAGTAGGTCACATAGCAAGTGAAGGAAGAACTAGGACCAGATTTTCCTGTTTCCAATTGGGTACAATTTTCACTGTTGCTCCCACAGCGAATTGGGGGATTTTCTGAAAAACGTATAGCTAGAAATGAGCATTTTTCCTATTGTGTCATCTTTTAAAGAATTGTCATATCTCAAATGTCACTTCCAATGATCACATAAAGGTGGTTATTGTGGGGTGTGGAGTCCAAACTGTTCATTTAAAAGTTTTATTGGCACCAGTGAGCCCAAGCTGTCCTCCTTCCAACAATGGCCGTGTGCTCCCATGTAGCAGTTGAAAGAACACTGAGTATTTGAAGGAACTATCTCCTTCTCTTGCTGCCTAGATTAAACAGTTGAGTTGAGATGGAGTCTTATGTTCCACTCTGCCAGACTTCCTAGGAGCGGCTCCCTTTTTGAGCCTTGCATACCTTATTTTCTCTCCTGTCTGCTTTCCTAATTTAAAGTATCATAAGAACAATCTGGCAATGTTTAATTAATTTATTTTAAATCATAAGATCAAAATGCCCCCCATGTCTGGTTGTATCAAACAACAAACCCATCAACCTGGCTTGGCAATCTTGACACAGTTTCTACAAAAAATGTGTCCTCCTTTTTTCTAAAGTCATTCTATTTTATCGGTAACAGTACGTTTAGAAATCACAAGGTTTTAGTCTCACTACTCACTTATTAGTAATATTTAAACAGTAAAGACATACAGAGGAGCTTCTATAGAACATTTACTTAAGTTATCTCACTCAGAGACCATGCTCTCAGGAAATTGTTCCTGCCTACCAGGTCTGAATGAATTAGCTGTGCATCAGGATGAATGGGTCAACTCCACAATCTTCTCATGGGCATTTATGGGGCTCTCCTGAATCATCCCACCATGAAATATTTAGAACCCAGCTGGGCACAGGGCATGTAGCATTGGCTCTGTGAATCAGGGATGATACAGAATGAAAATAGTTCTATAGCAATCGGAACCTTTTATCACTAAATTCTGGGAGATAGAACTCAAAAGCAACTTCTTTCTTTGAACCTGAAAATAGAAAAGCTAAGAAATGGGAGAGGGAAATAAAAGAAGAATCAGCCCAGAGCTATCATCCAGGCACTGACAAATGTTCCTTCTAAAGTCTCTGATTGTTGTCCCTACACAATGCGGTGGTAGGAACAAGGGAAGGGAGGTGAAAGGTGACGTGAGTATGAGGAATTAATTTTAGCCACAGTTTTAGGCCCCCCGGAAGGCTGAGCTGACTGGGATTTTTCAAGATCGTCTCTCTGCTGTGAGCGGGTGGCCGGTGGTACTGTCACTGCTGTAAGATCCCTGAGCATAGTCCGGTAAAGGCTTTTCAGGTCCTATCTAGGCTTCCTGGGAAATATAGACTGATGAGCAGCTCCAATCTTTGCACATGAGGGCGTGGAGAAGAGAGCAGGGTCTCAACTAGCTTTTTTCTTGATACCAACTCAGTTGAAGTACTCTTGACAGAATTCCTCTTCTTCAGTCTTTAAAATGCTCACGGATGACCTGTGTTTAAATCCTATTTGACCACATAACTTAGTACCTGAAAAAGAGGTAAAAGTAGCTCCCTTTCAAGGATGCTAGATTAGAAAACTCTCTTTATATGTGAGTTCATCAAATTCCACAGAAACTTATCTTTATAGGTCTTGGAAGATAAAACATTGCTATAGGACTTGTTGATGATCAAAATACCTTCAAATACGTTGTTACATGTGAGCCTCATGCCACCCTGTGAGGGACTGGGTTTGGTATTATTACTCCTGCCAGATCCATTTTAGGTTACATTATTAAGGCTCTGAAAGGCTAAATAACTTGCCCAGTGTTACACAGCTTAAGGGGCAGAGCCAACAGTTTTCTATCCTGATCCTCAGACTACATAACCTCAAACTTTCTGCTCACTTTTCTATGCCTCAGAGCCATAATTTTATTAATAATGACAATATTTCCTTTTGTAAAAAAGTTTTCTCGGTTGGGCGCAATGGCTTACGCCTGTAATCCCAGCAGTTTGTGAGACTGAGGCGGGCAGATCACGACCTCAGGAGATCGAGACCATCCTGGCCAACATGGAGAAACCCCGTCTCTACTAAAAATATAAAAATTAGCCAGGCATGATGGAGCATGCCTGTAGTTCCAGCTACTTGGGAGGCTGAGGCAGGAGAATTGCTTGAACCCAGGAGGCGGAGGTTGCAGTGAGCTGAGATTACACCAGTGCACTCCAGCCTGGCAACAGAGCAAGACTCCATCTCAAAAAAAAAAATATAAAGTGTTGTCAAATGAAGTCTCTGCCTAGACTAGTCTAGTAAGTAAGGTTTTTCAACCTATTGACATTTGGGGCTGGGCACATC